ACCGAACAGACCAAGAACAGACCATAAACAAACTATAATAAAACTTGAAAAACATACTTTTTTTTTTACATATTTTTTGACTTTTTGGGTATTAATAACCATTGTAATTTATAAAAGAGAAAAAAAATTGGTAAAAACAGAAAAAACCTAGAACATACCAATAACCAACTTTAATAAAACATTAAAAACATACATTTTTTTACATATTTTTTGACTTTTTGGGTATTAATAACTATTTTAATTTATAAAAGAGAAAAAATTTTAGTAAAAAAAGAAAAATCCTAGAACATACCAAGAACAGACCAAGAACCGTCTTTTTCTTTTCTTGGTCTGTTCTTGGTCTGTTTTTGTCTGTTCTAGGTTTTTTTCTTTTTTTACTAATTTTTTTCTCTTTTATAAATTACAATGGTTATTAATACCCAAAAAGTCAAAAAATATGTAAAAAATGTATGTTTTTAATGTTTTATTAAAGTTGGTTATTGGTCTGTTCTTGGTATGTTCTAGGTTTTTTCTTTTTTTACCAATTTTTTTTCTCTTTTATAAATTACAATGGTTATTAATACCCAAAAAGTCAAAAAAATATGTAAAAAAATGTATGTTTTTAATGTTTTATTAGAGTTTATTTATGGTATGTTCTTGGTCTGTTCTTGGTTTGTTCGGTCGGTTCTGGTCTGTTCTTAGTCTGTTCTGGTCTGTTCTTGGTCAATTCTTGGTCTTTTTGGTCAATTAATGGTCTGTTTTTTGTTATTTTAACGTTATTTAACTTATTCCATGAATCAGAGGCAGGGCACTGCCCCTCTTTTTGGACCTAAGGCCCGCCCCAGCATGCCACCCCCACGCGCGCGCCCGTGCCCCCCCCCGCGCACGCGTGCCACCCCGCTCGCACGCGCCAGTGCCCCCTACCGTGCACTAGTGCCCCCTGATTTTACCCGATTTTACAATGAAACACGCGTTTTGCCATCTTCGGGACTGGTTCGAAGTTTTCCAAAAAAAAAAAAAGTCATTGTGTAAAAATTTGGGCAGCATTTCCCTATAAATATAAGCTTCTCCAAAGCCAAAATAAATTGTACAATGATAATAAGTATAAATGCATTGCAACGACAATAATAAAAACATTGCAACACCAATAATGTTGTGTATACATTTTACAACAAGCAAAACAACCAACATTTCATATACTACTACTCACGGGCCTCTTAAGCTTGTACTCGCTCCAAATTCCGACCGTAAGTTCCAACCGGTAAGTTTCTACTTGTTCTTCAGCGAGGTCTTCTAATAAGATTCTGCGCACAAGGTATTCGATAAATTTGTATGTGTAAAGTCCGCAACCACCTGATCTAAGGTTGTGAACCAACCACTTGGGACGAACGATTGGCCACGCACAGTCAAGTTTATTGCCCAGATGGTTAAATAAACCTGTGTACTTCAAGAATTTGGGCATCATGACAGAGATTGGCTCCACGTGTTTTTTCATCTGTTGATCTCTGTACATCATAACAGCTGAGTCATACACCTTTATGTTGAATTCAGATAAATCAACATAAAGCGCAACCCAATGCTTCCTCTCAATGTTAAGAGGTATAGTGAAGCCCTGCGCTCCATCTCATTTCTGGCCAATTATGCGCTTTTTCCACATAAATATTCATCCAGATCATTGTCAAATGTATACGTTGCCAAGTTCTTTTTGTTGGTGATGAATCGCCCTCTCAATTTTTGGCAAAATACATCATCTAGGACAATAATATCGTTATTGAACTGCCCTTCGGGTGCCCGTGACCTTCTCATAGATAGAAGACCCTATGCCTCATCAATTGGCTGTAAGTCATAAAAAATAAATTCAGTATAATGATAATGGTATAAAAAATAAGACTATAAATTTAGAAAATATGTTGTGATTACTTACATCATTGAACAGCCATTCACCTGGCTTCAAGATGATCCGGAAGAAGCCCTTCTTCCAATCTCTAAAACCGCACTCAATCAGCTCAGAGTCTGTACTAGTATCAGCGAACCACTTGTTGAAGGCCTCGACATCATCTTTAAAGGTCCACATCTTCTTCCTCACGTTACGCAGGGGATCTGTGTAAGGCGACTCAAAATACTTGCTGGTCCTTTTAAGTCATTTTTCATTCTTGGATTCAGACTCTGGCTCTGAATGAACATGTTGCTCAAGTTGTTCCTCAGGCTCTGGCTAAACCTATGGCTCAAGTTCTTCCTCAGGCTCTGGCTGAACCTGTGGCTCCAGTTGTTCTTCAGGCTCTGACTGAACCTGTAGCTCAAGTTCTTCCTCAGGCACT